CTTCTGCCCCTTGTTTTTGATTTGTGACTACCAGGGAGAATTAGAATTTGGCTCTGTTGTTTTTTCAGATAATTTTCAGATTGACTAGCTAGTTTCAGGCAGGTGCGAGATCACTCCTTAGTCCATTCCTCTTCACTGGTTTGAACAAACCCAGCTCCTGTATTACTGCCTTGCAGATTACATATTTTACAACCCTGATCATTTGTTTTTTTTGTTGACAAACTGCATTTATCCAGTTTGTCAACATCCCTCATGAACTGGTGGACCCCAATCTCAACACAATATTCCAGGTGCAGCTTTGCCAGTGACAACTAAAGGGGAAAAATAACTTCTATCTGCTGCTCATACTCTTGCTAATGTAGTCCCATATGTAATTTGTCCAATTTGTAATGAGAGCATACACATCACTGGCTCATAGCCTGGATCTCACCCTATTTTCCAGGGTTTCTTATCAGCAGGGCTGATGTTCAACTAGTTTCCTAACCTCTACCAACACATGGGGTTATATAAAAGAATAGTATCCATTCAGAAGAGAAGTGGGTGTAGTTGGTGACAGGTTAGCTAGCACAACTACTTGTAAAAGTAGAAAGCATGAAGTATTTAATACACGACAGGGAAAAACATTGTATGTTACCAGATAGTCATTGCCACCAGGCAGAAAAATTGTTGAATGAATGGACTTGGCAGAACTGAAAGTGAATGAACCGTTTTTGAAGCCTGGATTCAAGCCACATCTGTGCTCAGTGCCAGGGAATAGGAAATGAGGCACAGGCTACCATCAGTAATAAAACTTTGAGAGAAGCGTAGCCAAGAAATGAGAAGTGGCTGCTGCACTTACATCTGGCCTCAACATCCTGATTACTTGCTTAGCAGTCACCCTTCTCAGGAACATTTAAGTGAACTTTTGGAAGGCAGGAATGGCTTTGGAACCTCTTGTCAGTATTAAGGATTTTTTTTTCTTTGTAAAATGCTGGGCATTTCTGGAGGACAGGAGAAAATACAAGCTTTTGCATAATAATAAGAGACATCAGACTACTGAACGTGCTTTTCTTACTTGCCTTTGGTAGTAGCTCATGGATCATGAGAGACCCGTGTATTGCTGTTTTTGACTGATATTGAATTTCTCATTGCCAGAAAGGTGTGGGGAACCAAGAATAAGAAGGATTAAATCAACTCCATTCCAGAACAAAGCAAGTACTCCCATGGAAACTATTTCTTGACCTTGACAGAGCAATCCAAGCTCTTACAAACAGTTGGCTTTGACACTGAAAAGTCCTCTATGCAGCTGTCTTGGATACGATATTTTTCAGTACAAAAAAAAGTCTTGACGAGTCATAGGAGCCTCATGAACTTCATGACTGTAACTTCCAGCAGATATGAGTGTGATTCAGGGAACTCATTCTCACAAGAGATGAAAATAAGCAGAACTTAAATATTTCTAGCCTAACTTTGCATTAGGTCTTTGCATAAACTCATACCAACTTCTTTTCTTCTAAAATCTGTAGCAGTTATTAAAGTGGGTTACTTCTATTTTTGGAAACAATGTGGAAAAGGAGAGAAATTTTTCATTAGTACAGATAGATGGCAAGGGCTATTGAGGCCATTGTCAAAATACACATACATAAGGGTTATAGACATGCATTGCTGAGTTTTTTACTTAAATGTTCTGTTACTGTATGGTTTGATGTAATATCTGGGTTTACAACCAAGAAAACCCTGTCAAGGCTAAGAATAAGATTTGCATTATGGATAAGAATTTTAGTCCAAAATGCTAATCTGTCATCTGTCGAGCCTGTTTTTTCAGTCTCACAGCACAGATCTTGGCCACTTGCATTAACAAAGTTACTCACTGGAGTATAAGGACTGGAAATTGTAGTCTTGGGATACCGGAGTTCAGTTGCAGGCTCTGAGGTTTGCCTTGGTACTGGTTACTTTCAGTTGTCTGGTAACTGAGCTCCTGAGTCCTCTCAGGCAATGATGTTCTCAGTAGAGCCATGAGTTCGGACAACTTGAACAAAATAGGATTTTATTTGCATTGTGTTTTCTGAAAAAATACAATTTTTACTAAATGTGTTTCAAATACCATGCTATTCTAAGCACCCGATTGTTGCTGCATGTCATTAGTTTAGTTTTTGGCTCAAACCTTTGCAGGCTAGATGATAACAAAATAATTATTAAGTTATAAAATAGATCAGAAAGTTTTTTTTAGGGACTTCCTAAAGTGAATGCTTTATATTTGGTTTCAAGTATGCATCGTTATCTCAAGTGATTTGGCTCAGTAAGTAGAAGTATTGTATGTAACTGATTAGTTAGTAGATTTTGTCTACTGTGTTTAATTTTTTCTGACAGCTACCAATACATGTGATATTTGTCTTGGAACAGAAAAAGATGTAATAACAAACTATTTTGGCAGACTGCAAGTTGTTTGCTACTAGAACAAGGATTTTAGAAAACTACTCTGTCTCACCTTGAAAAGTTTATACTTTGAGTCAAAAGTTGTGACCTTTACATAGATTCTTGTACTCAAGAGGAAACAAAAGTGAAATTATTTCAGTACACAAGGCTTAAGAATTGGCAGAAGGCTTGTGCTTTTTATGCATCAATGAGACTGGTAAGCAAATAATCATACAAACAAAGGCTGTAGATTATAAGAAAGCCACAAAGCTGAATGTGACCTAAAATAAACTTGAGGTTCAGCATAGATAATACGCTTTAAATGAAGAATGCAATGTTTGGCAAAATTGAAAGGCAAGCAAGGTCTCAGAGATTACATGTGTTATTGATGGAAACAGGCCAGACTACCAACTACCAATTATATACTGTTGTCAGTGTAAAACGTTGAAATGTGCCAGGTTTCCAGATTCCCAAATTTTGTTCTCAACTTCCTTCAGCCCTTTCTTACTAGTAACTCATGTCCTGCCCCATTCAACACAGAGCAGTCAACAGTGAACTCTCTTTGGACGAGAGAGAAGCCAGGGGAAGCCACTTACCCCTGACTCCACAGATGCCTGTTAGGGCAATGTCAGCCCTCACGTCCCTCCCATGGAGGCCAGAGACACGACCCCTCTCACTGCCCTGCTCCGGCCAGAAGCCTCACGGATGTGGGGGAGAAGGGCTGAAAGCGAGAGAAAAACATGCGACTGCTCTGTCCTGAGGACAGCACGTGGACTCAGAATTGAACTCGAGTGACACAAGCAGGTAGATTAGAAAAAGGACACACAAGCAACACGAAGTAACCCTGCTTCCCCTCTTTCTGGAAAAGGGTCAGTGACAGTTGAGAGCTTGAGGCAGGATTTTGCTACACAGAAGAAGAGGCATGCCTCCAGCCTTGCCTGATGGAGAGCGGGGGCTGCCTGCTTGTTCCTATGACTCCGCTATGCGATAATATAAAGTCCATTCTCAGGGGAGTTTTCCTGAAAAAACAAGGCAAATCTCAACAGTTTTTTGCCATATGTGTGAATATCCATGGTAAATAATTATTTGAGATAATAATTTTTCACTGACTCAGTGTAATACTTGTTTTGGTAAGAGCCTCTGACTCTTCTGATTAAATAATTTTCTATCAATTTATATCTGAACTGTATAAAAGATATATTTTTGCATTAAGGAAGTTTGCCTCCCAGATTTAGTTTGGTTGTTCGTTTTTTTTTTTTTTTTTTTTTTTCCCCAGGTAGTTATTCTTTGTTCTATTTTAGGCTTCATGTATGTTTTTAAATACCCTAATCTCAAGAATCTATGGAAGGATAATTCTAAAGTAAAATCTCTTTTGTACTTTTAATTTTTTGGGTTAGTATACCATTTTAATGTTTCATAGAAAATGCTTCATTTTGGGGCTTTTGCTTGTGTCTGTTCAGGGAGCTAAAAAAACTGCTTAAATTAGATTAATAATTTTTAGGTCGCTAAAATTTACAGTCTCTTTTAGCAAAATTAGGAATTCCATGCTCACTGCTCAGACTCCTTTAAATGATAAGGGTAAAACCAAAAGAGAAGTCAAAGTTCTTTTTCTTTTCTCTTTGTATTTGCATCTCTCACAATATGCTATGTTACATATACCAGCTGTTTTCAGCAACTACAGGAGCTAAAAAATGATGACTTTTTACACTGAAACTTAAATTTCCCATAACATCATTTACCTTCAGGAATAGGGTCTTTGAGAAAAAACTGCCATTATAGAACATGAAACGAGTCTGTAACTTTGGTCATAATGAGACAGCTTTAACTATGTTATATGGAGATTGGCTATTTTGGGCTCAGCAATATGAGTGAAGTAGCATGCCTGAAAGAATGGAAGGTAAAATGTGTGTGTGCATATCTTAAACTACTGTCTGTGGATTTTACACCTAGAGGTAGCCTTCTACACTACATTTGGCATGAGATGGCAGTACCTATATAATAATATGAATGGCTTAAATGATTTATAACTTGTTAAGCTGAGGTAACTTGTTATGAGCTTACATCTTGTGCTTGAAAAGTGCTTGGAAAAGCATTTTAGAATAATTTTTCTGTGCAGTATTGTTGGTTAAATGAAGATAAGCTATATCAAGAGAAGACATTTGCACCTGTCTGGTGGAAATGGGTAAAACTACACTTGGAACAATAAATCAGTTGTGGGGTTTTGTTTGTTTATTTGTCTGTTTTTTTCTGCTATTAAAGAGTTTATTGTCTAGTGCCATGGACTCTTGGGTCACTCAGCCCATGTTTCCTACTGCTGTATTTGCAGCTAACAGCTGGTCACATCCTAAAGCAAAGATCATTCTCTTTGTAACAGCTGGACTGTGTGCTGCATGTTATCAGTGTTGGTCCTCTTCCTAGAGTTTAGTTATAATGAAAAAGAAGTAATTCTTGAATGTTACACTTCTGGAGCATCATAAATTAAATGCATTTGCTTTTCTACGGTATTTCTGTCTGATTTGTGTTTTGAAATTGATTGCAATTTAGTGATTGCAAAGTATTTATGGGCTTAAATAAAACAACTGTTAATAATCTCTTCTCTTCTGCAGAAAATTACATCAGCAATTTGAAATGTATAAGGAGCAAGTGAAGAAGATGGGTGAAGAATCACAGCAGCAGCAGGAGCAGAAGGGTGATGCCCCAACCTGTGGTATCTGCCACAAAACAAAATTTGCTGATGGCTGTGGCCATAACTGTTCATATTGCCAAACTAAATTCTGTGCGCGCTGTGGAGGAAGAGTGTCGTTACGGTCAAATAAGGTATGGAGTTATGAAAGTTTAGTAACAAGCTTCTCCTAAACTCAATTTCTCTTGTTCATTGCTTATGCATCCAAATCACATAGCTACTGAAACAGATTTCCTTTAAGGAGGTAATGATATCTACTTTAGGGGCTTTTAAGACATCTGTCCTCATTTCAAATAATTTCTGTTTGCAAATGGATTTGTGACTATGGCTTTTAAGCTAATACATGCCACATTTCTACTAACGGACTCATGAAAGTACAATTCTTTGGTTGGAGGATTGAGTCTCTGCATTGGAGACACAGATTATTAAAAGTTAGAGCAAGGATTTGTTTGTTTTTGCTTACCCAGGTGCTTCTGTACAAGATTATTGTAAAATTAGTGCTAGAACAGTATATACAATATATTATGAAGGTGTAAAATTTTTATTATCTGTTATACGTATGCACATATATTATGTATATGTACATATAAATATGCATACAAACAAAAATATTTTTAGGAAAAAATTAAAAGCACTAACAATATAGAGTTAAAGCTAGCATGCTGGTATTGTGTAACAATATTGTACAAAAATGTATTGAATAACAACAGGTAAAATGGCAGTCTGAATTTTTAAAAAGTTGGATCATAGAGTAAAAATTCAGCAAAACTGAGGTAATCACAGAAAACAGTTCTGAGATCAATTTATTCAACATTTTAGATAAAGTGTTCACATCTGATACGCGTCTGTCTCAAGTTCTGACAGATACTTATAGAATATTCATGACAATACTCAAGACATCTTATGCTAGTCTTTGGTGGAAAAACATTTTTTGTAAATCTATACAGTAATTTAATAATTTAAGGTTTATTAATATAATATTTTTGCATTACAATTTATTTCCATAAATCTATTTTTTTCTGTAATATGTTCACTGAAAATATCATGCAATCTGCAAATATTATCTTAATATTTTGGAAAGTAGGAAACAATGATATAAATGTTATGTATTTCTTTGTCCAAGATTGAGAGGTAGGCTTAAATAATGGACAAAAGTTTTTGATTGGCAAAGTATAAAATAATCTGCTATTTCCTGATGATTAAAGTAACTGGAATTATGTGTAAATTTCTCAAATTGCCTTGGATTTTGTTAAGGTAATTTTAAAAATTTGTCTTCAGTAAGCTAACATTTTTATTGTTTTTTTATAACTAACTAAATCATGTTGCCTGTAATAAGAGACATAATAATTTCTGTATTAATTTAATCTGATTATAAAAGGCAATCAGGACAGATATTTGAGTCATTATATCTCCATAGAAATATAGAAAAAAAGCATTAGGAGGAAGTCTTCATATCTTGATGAAACATTCTGATACATCATTTAGTCTGTCCTTGAGATGGATAATGTGAACTTGGCAGATATTTGTATGATTTCTCTTGACAGATTTCCAATGATATTCTTCCACACACTCTTAGGTCATTTGTTCCACTGCTTTACCATCCTCACCATAGAGAGCTTTTCTTACTGTCTAACCTAAATCTGTCTTTCTGTAAGCTGACTTCTCCATTCAGTATTATGAGTCTGTTCTGCAAGTCTTCTCACCTGGCTTTTTTTCGACTACTGTTGATAATTTAGTGCAATAAATAAGCTTTATCTGTCTCTCATTCATTTCTGTTCTAGATAGTTTATGAATATGCCAGTCAGAGCATCTCTAGGCTGTGAGGCTTCACTGGTGATACCTCTTCCTTGAAAAACCCAGACCATTTATTCCTGTTCTTTTCTTCTTGTCTTTTCATCGATTAAGTTTTCTCAAGGATGAATTTATTTCTATTCTATGGCAGCTGAGATTCTTTAAAAGCCTGGAAGCACAACTCAGCAGTATGAATAAATCACATATACTCACTTTCTCTGTGACTCCTTGAAGGAATTCTTATACATGTAACAGACACTAACTCCCTTTACTAAAGCCATTCTTACTTTTCCACATTTTATCGTAATTTATTCATATGCTTGCTAATTTTATTCTCTATTTCAGTTTCTACAAATCTGTCCAATGTGGATGTCAGACTCACTTGACTATTATTCAGTTGTTCTAACTGAAATGACTTAAAAATTAATAAATTGGCATCATATTTGCCACCTTTTATTCTTCTTGTCAATGAAATATTCTGTATTACAGTTAAGAGTTAGATATTTTAGACTTGAGATGTTTTATGCTGAATATAATCTGATTTAAAAAATCTGTTACTTCTTTTTGTTGACTCACTTTATAGCTTCTCTTTCTGAAATATCAGTTCGAAGTATATCCTGTGGTTCTGCATAAAATAATATCCTAGAGTAAGTATCTCTCTAATCACCATGATCATGAATACAAAATATTTAATTCAGACTGTGGCAGTCTCCTATTTATGATCTCCTATATAACTATACACATTATTGCATTAAATTTAATTTTGGTCTACCAGAATTTACCAAAATTCTTTTTTTTTTCTGTTTTCCTTAATGGATACAACTTCAGCTTCTTGAAGGATGACTTCTAATAACTTCCTATTTTAAGTTTCCTAGATTCTCTTTGGTCTTTGTAGACATTTTTTGACAGGTTATGTATGTCTGCTTTGGACCTTATATAAGGTGATACTTAAAGTGTCTGAAATGTACTTTGATGGAGCTATTTGATTTGTTAGTGATCTTTTTCATAATATCGCATATAAAGCCAGCTTCATGCCATTTACACCAGATTTTGCTCCTAATAGTTTAGTACAGACCAGTGTTAGCAGTATGCATCTCAGAAGATGTAGAACTGCAAAGAACACTTCTCTTTGAAAGTTCACAAGGCAGAGTACGTGGTCGTGCATAGGAGCGGAGCATGGAAGTGTTTGACTGCTGTCAGAGCATTAGATTAGGATTCTCAGAATGACTGGCTGATTTATTCCTTTTTCAGTTTAGTTACAGTGTTTGAAATTAGGCATTAAAATTCATCTCAGGTGGTACAAAAATTATTATGTGGGAGTTCCTTCTAGATCAAATAAATAAAACTGATAATGGTGGAACTGCTTATTATCTAAGATAATGGAGTATTTAGCCAGGAGGGGGTCTTAAATTTCATGGGAGTAAGTGACCTTGAACTGTCATCTTTTATGTTTATGAACAATTTCAGATTGATTAAAACTGAAGTAATAAATCACATGACAGCAATTGGTAATTGTTCTTACCAATATAGGTACCATTTTGATATACAAAATATACTACTGTTCTTTTTTTAATTGTATACTGATTTATATAGGGAAATGCACACTGAATGAGGCAGTAGACAGCAGAATGAGGTTTATGCAGCTGAAAAATTTGCATGCTAAAATATTGGACAAACACAGCTTCCAGACAGATACTACTTTGTGTGCAATGATTATAAATTTCAACAGCTCAGAATGCCAGTTCAGTAAACCAGCATTTCACTTGTAGAAGAAGAAAACAATACTTATCTAAAAGCTTAATTTGACGCATGCTGAATACCTTCTTTCAGGGTGTTTGACAATGTGCTGTCGCTTGCAGCCACTGAAACATCCTTCTCTATCTCTGAACATCAAAAGTAAGAGATTTTCAGTTGTTTTATAAGACCCAGCAACTGTGTGCAAAACTCAGAAGGTATACGTAGGGAACGTCTCTCAGCTCCCTCTGCTTCTGTGAAATCTTTGCATTCTGATTATTCCTCTGGGACTATGTTTGATTTTTAGAAAATCATCGAGATCTCTGTTGAATTATTCTAACTGCAGACTTGCAGTGTGACCATCTGTATGGAGTCACTAACCAAAATTCTAGCATGCTTGTGCTAACGTGCAATCCATTTTATTCTGCTGACAGTTGGCAAGCACTGAAGAATTAGTCTGTTACAATCATGATTTCTAAGACACTAGGAGCTGAGATAAACTCAGTGATTTCCTATTGCATACAAATACGTTGATCGTTATGAGATGTCGTTTGCTTCTGCATTTCACTAGAAAAGACATGTGACATTGCAAACCTGAGGAAAGGCTTTCTCTAAATGAAGTGTGTTGTTTCTTTTTTTTTCTTTTCAGTTAAGTGCATGTAACACCTGTGAAATCTGGTAGCCTACAACTGTATTCATCTCTCTGGAGAATCTCAGTACGAGTATCTCTGAAAGAAAGCTGCTAAATTATTCCAAAGAGAATTTCGTATTTGAAAGTTGTAAATTCACAGCTGGATGCTCTGAAAGTTATTTTTCTAATTTGGATGCATTCCACAGCTCAGTTTCTCTGTGAACAGAATAGAGTCTGTATTACCAAATATATTAAAGACTTCCAATCTGAAATCTGGTCCTGGTTGTATAAGAACAAGTCAATGCTATAGTGAACATCTATGATTGTTAAAACATCTCTAAATAATGGTCAGCTTCATTCTATTTGAGGTGATCATACTCTTTATTCTTTCAAAAACTATACCCAAATTTATCAGGACTACAGTTCAGCTAGTATACGTCACGATCCTTAGTACCGTTCCCCACTCCTTCCCCAAATGGGGTTTGGCTGCCTGTGCTCACGGGCAGCTCCGGTGTGGTGCAGCTGTGGTCTGGGATCAGCCTTGGGGCAAGACCTGAGGGAGAAGGGGCTGTGATGAGCCCTCTGGGGGCCTCCACCCCCTCGCCTGGGAGCTGCTTTTCATCTCAGGCACTCAGCCTTGGGCCATGCCTGAGCCCTGCCACTGCCCGTCTGGGTACCTTGATGACCCAAATCAGTAAGGCTTGGCCTCCCAGCTAGCCTCAGCTCTGCCTCATCACCATGGACCTCCTGGGGACCTGGATTCTTTGCTGACCCTAGTTACAGTCCTGGGCCCTATCCTGCTCCCCTTGCACGCACGCTGGGGGACAGAACCCTGTATGCGGGGGGCATGGTCTGCCTCATGTCACCCTTTGTACCCTGCTTCTGGCCCTGGCCAAGCTGCTGACCCTGCTTGTGCCTGGACAGTATAGTAGTGCACTGTCCCAGCAAAACACTTTTTTTAAAATTGCTACATTTAATATTAAGAGTAAAAACCTTGCCATGACTATACTTTTGAACCAGGAGATGTTGCTCCTTTTCAGCCTGTAAACTTTTCTTGCAAACTGCTGCCTAGCAGAACTGATACTCAGATTCTGTATTTCTGTATTGACATCTTGTGTTCTCTTGATTTTTCAAAAGAACCCTGTGATTTTAATACAAACTATGTGGATATGATTGTTGCCTTCAAATGACAACTGCACAAACTTTCTGTCATTAATTTTATTTATATGAAACTATTTTAATTTGCTAGTTGTTTTGAATCTCATTAAACAGGAGGTGATGGTCTCAATTTCATCAGAGGCTAGGCACGTTTGAACCCTTCACTCTGCTTCAAAGCTTTCAAAAGCCTTAGAGGTTATTATGATCCTAACAAAATGAAGAGCTGGTAATTTTAGATAAACTGATCATTTTAGGCACTTAAGGTGAAAAAATACTGTCTTGAAGAGTAGCTTTGGATCAAGCAGTCAGATGCCAGATTGACCTTCTAAGAGGTTTTTTTTAAAGGATAAGGTATAGATATCATCTCATTCTAAATGTATTTTGAGTATGGGATGGAATTCCAGTAATTTTGCTAACTTTTCTGTGTGTCTGAATATTCATGCAGTTAAGGCATTTCCCCATAAAACCAATACTAAAATATACTTGCATTTTCACATGGAACAGAACAAATACCACTGAAGTCTGACTGATTTGTTGCATTTTTAGCATAAGTTCTTTGAGAACTGAGTTGAATAATTTCTTAAATGTCTTTGCTATTGAAGTGACTGACTAGACTGTCTCTCATATGGTCAGTCATGCCACTACTTGCATTGTACTGCTATGAACTCAGGAATGTTTGACATCAGTGTGGTGGAATGCAGCTGACAGGCTGATGGCAGTCTTAGTTGTTTAGTAAAGCATGGTGACTTGTCTTGAACTTCACATATATTTATATTTCATAGCCTGTTTCTGAAAAGAGACTCTTAATCCTGGAGGTTATTCAACATAGGTAGATTGTGTGAACCAAGTCTTGATTACTGTTATGATCACAATATGAATGACAGGATTTGAAGTCTCAGCTGCCCTTTCAAAGCCAACAATTTTTGGAATTACTGCTTTATGTCACAAAGCTTGCACTTATGTAGTAAAGTGTTTGAGAGTCTTAATTATGCCATTAATTTCTGAGAAAAATCTTTCATCTTCTTTTAATATATAGTTTATAAATAATGCGCATATATATATTATTGTTGCCTATGTGGTGCTTGTACTTTGGATTATCATTTGAGCTAACAGAGAGTAAGACTTCTCTACTGATATCTTTGATATATGAGAATTACTGATTAGCCATGATTTTCACTAATATAGTCTGAGGTTTTAGGAAATGTAGGTTGGTATGTTCCCCTTGCTTTACAATCTTAGAATGCCTTTAGTATTTGTTTTATCTTTTCTGTGATTAAAGTAAAATTTGTTTTTTGGAAACTCTTGATTTGAGCACAAATTAAGATTTGGCAAAATGATACAGTGATGAAATGGAACAGTATTACCAGATCAGTGTTTATGAGCCAATTAGAAAAACTGTCTCAAAACTCTTAAACTATCCTTTCTAAAATATATATCAGTGTTGTAGTGAGAGTTTGTTTCTGTCTTTTAATTTTTTTATTTCTAGCTCATCTCTATTATTGGTTTGTGTGTATACTCCATTGTGTTGTCATCTGAATTTACTTTCCTTGTATGAATTTACATTTTTTCTTGTGTATTATGGCTTTACTCCTTATAAGTGTTTTAAAAATACTCATATCTTAGGTGAAAGCTACTGGGTGAAAACAATAGATTAGAACATAATTCATAGTATGAAGACATGCAGATCATCTGCGTGTTTGCAGAAGACTATTAGAATTTATAGGTCAAATTTTCTATATATAATCATTACTTACAACTTGGCTAGACTGGAGTATTATGTTAGAACAGCATACAAGTAGTCAGGACAATGGATGAATTATAGTAGTCATTATTTTTGGAATAGAGATAAAACTAGTAAAGAAATCCATATGAATGAGAAACCAGAACGTTTCTATATGTAGGTTTATTGCATATAGGAGGAAGTTATTTAAAAAGGCTAATCTAGCTAGATTTTCTTCATGAGTGAGTAAAAAGTTTTGAAGAATAACTGGGTTGGAAAGGTCCTCTGGAGGTCATCTCATCCAACTTCTTGCTTAAAGGATGTTGAATTACATGAGTTTTCAGAGGGCCTTGCCCAGTTGAATTTTGAATCTTCAAGGATAAAGATTCAGCAACCACTCTGAGCAAGCTGTTCCAATGCTTGACCATTCTAATGATTAAAAAATAGAAAGATTTCCTTATATCTAGTCTGAATTTCCCATGTTCCAACTTGTATTTGTTGCCTTTTATCCCATGCTTCAGTGTATATCTTTTAGGAGAATACTACACATAATACACATCAAATGACCAAACTATGGGTCTTGTGCAGTGAAAGTTATAAGGAAATAGCATAACTTCTAAGCATTTTCTTGAAATATTATAGGCCTTATTTATGCTCTGTTTTAAAAGTTGAGGGATAGTGGTACAGTGCAGAATATGAAAAACAAAAGTTTAAACTGAAGACATTAGAAGTTATTAAGACATTAAGCACTGTACTAGAAACAAGCAATCCTGCTCTAAAGAATAGCCAGCCTAGGCACATAGAACAGTAAACTAATCTGTGTGATTAAAAAAAATGAAGATACTTTTCACCTCAAAATTTTTTTCTTAAGGATCTTGCCCCCTTTAAAACTTTGTATAAGTTTTAACCTTGCCTACTTAATATTTACATTTTTCATTCATTATCAAATGTTTTTAAAATGTTCGTATTTTTTAGTTTGAACTATTACTGTGTCTGTTCCCCATTTGTTGGGGTTTTTTGTTTGTTTGCTTTTTTGTGAAACCTGCTACCTTTACTTTTTTCTTCTGTTTAATGTATTTAAAAACTTTATCTTTGCTATGTGCTATTTTACCTACTGTGTCTTGTTGGACCTTATTTCGTTTTCTCAAGTTCTTTTGTTTTAAAGTTTTAACTGCTGTCTGCATCCTTAAAGTGGGGAGTTGGATTAATTGATCTTCTGTGCTGTTACTTACCCCTTCATGCAGCTGTGAGACATTCACTGAAAAAGCAACCTATTCAGGCATTTACGGTTTTAAAAATTTCTTAGCCTCTGTGCTACAAATACCTGCCTATGGATTATGCTCCTCTTGCATGGTAGAGTATATTTCTTCAGAGGTGAGGACGCAAAATTGAGGCACTAGATGTTTCCATTCAAAATATCTATGAACACTAGTTCCACTCTTACGGCAGTGGGAAGGAAGCCCCACTAGGAATGTAGCAGAGCACCTGGTGCTGTGCAGATAAATATGTCTCTTCACACAGAGAGATAATGCTTAGAAGTCCTGTGATTTAGATAGCTTTCAGTGATATTTGCTATTTGTATAACTGAGAATGCCGCTAAAACCCATAGCATCTTTGAAGCTACTTTAATCTTTTACCACTGTACACAGGATCATAGCATTAGTTGGGTCAGATGGGACCTGTGCAGGTTATCTAGACCTGCTCTAAGCAGGATTAACTTCAAAGTCAGACCAGGTTTTCAGAATCTTGTCCAACTGAGTTATGAAAATCTCTGAGGATGGCGAATCCATAGCTTCTTTGGGCAACCTCTTTCAGTGCTTAACCACTCCTGTGACTTTGTTTTTTTCTTATATCTGATCCAATCCCTTGATTGTTGCATTTTGTCCATTAGCTGTGCATCTTCAAGAAAATTCTGTCTCTGTCTTCCCTGTAGCTCACCGTTAAGTAGTTGATGAATGCAAGTAGTTCCCTCTTCCTGCAACCTTTCTTACCCCAACCTTCTTTTGGCTAAAGAAGCATATCTCCCTCAGCTTCTCCTTGTATATTGTGTGCTTTAGTGTCATGACTGTCTTGGTTAGCCTCTGTTGTATTCTTTCCTGTTTGTTTGTATCTCTAGTATTGAGGGGAACCTAAATCTTCTGTAAGAGCACGGGAGCACAAAGTTACATGCCATATAGGTATCTGAACAATAAAGCTATAAAATGAGATGTCAGTCTGTCTTGGTGAGCAGTTATATTTCCAACATGGCTTAGTGCTTAATTGCATGCCTAGATTTAGTCTCTGTACTGGCATGTGAAATGAAGGTACCAGAAAAAAAAAAAAATCACCATTCATCATTCACAAAAATGAGAATAATTTTGACTGAAACATTTTGAATATTTTTGTTTTCTAAAGTATTATTCCATTTACAATTTTAGACAATTAAAATAATAATTGCTTCAAGGAAAATAATAATCAATGGGAATTTTGTGTTCAATATTTATGGGTATGAAAAATAAAGTATAAATGATATAGATCTGACATGACATGCAGTAAACATTGGTGAAAACTCTATCTCCTTGTGCTTTAAAACTCTAGTATTTTAAAGATCTGCTGAGTGACTAAGATGCAGTTATGCTATTATGCATGCCCTATGTGTGGCTGTAGTAAACATTCTTCATTTCACTGGACTCTTTGCAAGTGCAAAGGGTTGATTCATGCTAATGATTTGGAACACTGAGGTCCAAGGCATGTAGAGCTAAATTCTGCATCCTTTTTATGAGATGCCCTATTTCTTTTATTAAAGTAATTCGGACATGACTCCCAAATTATTTTTACTGGGTTTTTTTGTACAAAGGTTTTCTCTGCTATATCAAATAGTCTAAATTTAACCCATGAAATGATTAAGAAAATTTTTTAAATGACACAATTTTCACTATATATTCTTTACCACTAGGGGAAATAAGAAAGAGATATATTAATTCCTTCAATATTTGTTTGTTTATTTTACTAACAAATACTACTGCTTGCTTTCAAAATGAAAGTGACTCTTTCCTTCCTTGTCTTTTTTCTGTCCTTTTTTTCTTGCTTTCGTGGATATGAACTCCAGGAGGACAAAGTGGTTAGAGCCTTTTTCTGTCTAAAGTTCTTTTCTTTTATGGGTAGACTTACTTGCTGGCCTGCATTTGCTTTCATTTACACTGGTGTAATTCCTGCTGAAGGCAAGGGGAGTTACTGTCACTAAAATGAAAGCAATGTTTGGCATGAAAGGCTTACCTGTTTTTCAGACAATTTACTAATAATCTGTGAGTTGCTGTGAACAGTATGCATGATATTCCTCTTTGCAGCTTTTGTGAGCATGCCCCTACTTTTCCTTTAGTTTTACAATATGATATGTGCACAGTTTTAAAAAAATAAATAGGTAATTGTCTTATAGGTGTTTCTCATACAAAAATACAAATTATTTTTATCAAAGTGGCATAAAGTTACCGAAATAATTTTTGCACCTTGTGGTAGTCATGCTTGTATCATTGATATGTATGCACTCAACATTTAAGCTTGTAATGTTTTTTAGCATGGTAGTTCAGTTTTGATTTTTAATGACAATACAATTAGATACCAGTAGACATTAAGAAAACATTAATTCTCAACATTTAGGAATATGCCAGCAATGTCATAGAGTTATCCACTAACATATAAATTATCTTCTACATTAAATGTTGTGTAGGCATTCCTAAAATGTAGTGCACATATTGTATTGAGCATAATGTTGAAATAATATTAGACATTATGCATGTCACTGACACAGTGTTTGTCTTGATAGTATTATACCTACAGTAAATATTTTAATCTGATTTTATTTTAGTTGTGTTTAGAAAAGGTAGAATAAACCTGAATTTTGGAATAAGCCTGTATATCTTTCAATATTTTACCAAATTAAATGTGATTTTTTAAAAAATAACAGAATTGAGAAAACTACTTGTCTAGTGTAAATCTGCTCTTCTGTGAAAATCTCTAATGTATTCTAAAGAGTTGAGCTTGCAAAAGCAACTTGCCCTGTAGTGCTTGGAAAGTAGGTTCCTATATTAGATGGAGTAAAGAAATTCTTCAGTGTTCATATGCATTTAGTGAATGTATACACAGCAAAGTCTTTTACTACAATAAATGTAATTTTTTCTTACTGATAGCAGTGTCAAGGCTCACATTTAACTCACATGTTTGATTCAGAAGTACTTTGCTTCATACAAAAGTTGTAAACTATCTGCTGTTTTTACCATGTAGGATATGTTTTTACTAGCAGGCAAGTGATCTTTGTGGTGGGCCACATACTGGTCTCCCAGTCTGTTAGAGGATTGCATAGTTTTCTTGAAGAATTTACCCTTTCAGAAAAATCTTGTAATTGATGCATGCTGACAGTAGGCTCAGAGTCAATCCAACTAATGTCAGTGAGGTACTCATCTATATTGTAGCAGTATCAAATCCTAAATTCACTTGGAAAATAAAAAAAAAAAGTGAGGGGGGTCACAGTAGTATGGTTATATGATTATCTAGTTTCACTATGTACCTGTGGTAAGGAGAGAAGGGACAGGAATTTCCCTAGCTAATCAACTAGCTAGATTTTTCCATAAATAATGACGGTGCCTCAAGTTGCTTTAGGTAACATCTGTGTCTGCTGATTTTGAAATAGATGTTTTAGAAGTTATGAAGGCAGAAGGAACAATAAGTACTTTAGGTCAGCTTTTTCTCACCTACAAACACTGTGAAGTAGGAACAGCAGTGGTATTCATCTACCTTCTTTGGTTCTAACAGTAAGGTTAAAACCCCTGGTATATTGTATGAAGATATCATCAAAACAGGTGCTTCACTATAAACAGGATTTTTAAATTTTGTGTGATACAGCATTTACCAGTAGTTTGACCCACTTAGAGAATCCTTAATATTACTGGCTATCCTTCATTTTCCAGTGTTAGCATATCAGAGAAGGTGTGAATTCTAGTAATTCTTAGAGGCCTATTGTGTATTTTGTAACCATAGAATGGCAAATTCAATCTACAGTGCTCCTAGATAAAGCTATAGATAGTTGGTGGTGTTGGTGGTATATTGACCCAATTAATCAACATGGATTTGGAAAATGAGTTGTGTTGAAAGCATCAGTTCTGCGAGGAGTTGAGTAGAAAGACATTTTAGTATGTCCCTGTAGAAATCTTGTCACATCTTTTGATAAAGATTAAGATTGCAGGGAAAAGTTAGGACAGTACATGGTGTTGAATAATTGGGACAATCATAATTGGGACCAGTCTACTGGTGCTATTTATGGTGGTGGAGAATGGAGTTGGACATGAATCCTGACTGTGTTGTAATGTAGTTGTACAGCTGTGCGAATAAACATGTACGGAAGGGAACTTGTATTACATCCTAATACCACTTTGGAGTATAAATCTCACTGTGCCTTTCTCCACATAGGATCCGTTTTTTTTTTTTTTTTTTTTTTTTTTTTTTTTTTTTTTTTTCTTTAAGTCACAAAGGTACATTTTAAAGGATTTACTGAATTTGCATCGCTATTATTCAATCAAAATGTGACTATGAGATAGAGGGATGCTCTTTGAGAAACAAGAGTCAATTAAGGCTGATTGAAATGAAGTTTATTTCAAAAAATAAAGATTGACAGGATCATCTTCCTTTTACTGAGATTTTGACAATTATACTCCTAACCAAAAAACTTTATTAAAATGAGCAACACTGTTAGCCTAGAGTAGTGAAATTGTATGGCTATATCATTGAAAATCATGGAAGGTGTGATTAAAAAGATGAGGAACTAAGAAGTGCAATATGGTTTGTGTAAAAACATATCTTCATTGCAAAGAGTAGGAAATGAAGAAGTAGTAGAATATTTTAATTTTGACTGAATGATATCCTGAATTTAAATGAAATTATATACTACATACCTTTGCTTGGAGACAGTGCCTTTAGGTAATCACTGATGTTTCTGGGGAAAGCAAATTAGTAAGCAACCTAACATAGGAAGTTTTTGGAAACAGTTGGCAGGAGAAAACATAATTCCTTCTGATTTAGGTTCCATTACTTGCTTGTCATGGTCTGGCTTTTTAAAACTTTGATTTTAAAACTTTGTGTTTAGTTATGGACATTTAAGTTTTAGCTACATCAATTCATGTTTTTCAAGTGTCCATTTTCAGTTGACAAATTTGAAAGTGACATGAAATGGGCAATTTGGTGGCCTGGCCTTCAGAGATTCTGATACTTTCTCTGTTCTTTCATCTCTTTTAGTGGGTTCAGGAAGTTGTTTTTAGGGAATCTGTTTTAAACTGCTGCAGGTAAATCAAAGCCTTATAATTCTGTAAAGGATAAAGCTGAGCAGCAATGCTAGGGAACTTCCTCCTTGTTCTATCTTTATTTCCTGTGCATGTGGATAAAACTTTTGACACTTTCCTTGAAATAAGTCTTCTACCTTTGTAATGTTATGCATTTTGAAATACTTAAGACACAGACAAATAGCTTGTCTTTAAAAATCAAGTCTTCAACCTTCACCAGTCTTAAGAAGCTGAAAAATCTTTTTTTGATAAAGTAATCTCAAAGACTCCTCTAGGCAAATTCAGAATCAAATGAATTTACTGAATAGTTTCCTAGGTTAATTTCGCTAATACCTTGAATGACTTTGGAATTTTATTTGAACTTTAATCATTAAATGAAAGTTTAATAATTTTTGTGATTTCTACACACAGTTCAGACAATGGCAGTTACTTTTAGCAAATTAGTGTCATAAAACAATTCTATATGAAATTACATTAGAAAAGATCAAAAGCAATAGGGCATTTTTCTCCCTCCCTTTGCCTTACTGCAGTTAAAAATTCCTATTCTCATTTTCCCTACCATGTTCCAGAGTAATGAATATTATTATTCCAGTCAGGAGAGACCAAGGTGGTCATGAGAATGCTTCCTGTCATTTTGTGCAAATTTCACTGTTAAACAAGAGAGAATTTTTTTCTCATTGTACTTCTGCCATTCTGAACAGGTCCTTGGCCCTATCAAGAATCCCGTTGTTTCTAAATCATCTGTGTTGCAGGCCTGTAACTCCACAGTGCTCTACAGCTTTCTCACCTGCAACTGCACAAATGTGACGTACATTTGTAGAAACTGTAGGTGGTTCCTCCTGCCACTGCCTTCTTGCTATTGGAAAATACCTGTTTGGGTAAACTTTTACCCTATTCTTGATACTTGACTCATACTGACTTTGTGTTTTATGAAAAAACACTCTGAGTCTCATCAAGGTTTTCATGGGCTGTATATGCTCTAAAGAATATGTATTTTTTTTAACCAAGAAATATGTTAATTTCCAGATTACTGAAATTTGGGAAAACTTTTTTACAGAGACTCACAAAACCAGTAGAATATTTCCTAGACTTAGAATACCTCTGACAAAAGCCTTCTGCACCAGGTATTGTTTAAGATCGCTTTCTGAGGTATCTCTCTGCTGCGGGAAGCTTAATCTTTTCCTTAGCTCCTGAGTATTGTCTTTCAGATTGGAATCTCTAAAAGTAATTCAGAGAGTTGGCAACTTAGACCTTCCTGTCTTGGGCCACTTGTCCTAGGCTGTTCTCTGATCCCATTTCTCATGTATCCATTTGTCTAAGCTGCTATCCTTTATCTTACTGTGTTCAGAGCTCACTCTTATTTCCTTCATCACTACAGAATGCACTTCTGGTAGCAGAGGGTGATTTTAATGAAAATGGCACTGAATCCTGAGGTTTTTCTGTCTTCTGTTTCATGGAGCTGGATTGCAAAACATAAATAAAATGGACTCTATGTAAATATATTTAAGTACTAAGTTGCTTTTTTACTCTGATTGCACAGTCAAATCATGTTTTCCACTCAAAATTGTTACCTAGCTTTCAGTTTTCACTATTTTCAAGACTATCATGATGTAACACGTAATAGAATGTAGTCAGTTTACATACATCTTATCAAAGTTGCAGATTTAAACTTGCCTGAAATCCTGATGAAGACCACACATAGTAGATGCATCCTACTGATGGTTACATTGGCGTACAAATATTTTCCCTAAATTGAATCACATGTGGTGTTAACTTTGATGGTCTTACTGTC